CGGGGATGTCAACAGGCCGTCTGTTTCCCTCGGCCCACGTAATCAGATAAACTCAGCGTGAAGGAATAAGAGTGAGGCAGGAGCAAGGCTGACGGTGGTGTGAAGCTAAGCTGCTGTTTGTCAAGGCAGGGGAGAAAGCTCAGGGGCAGAGCAAGCAGCCCGGGCAGCTGCGCCCAGCAGCACCTCCAGGCTGGGCGAGGGTGGGAAGGGGCTGCTTCACCTTTATTTTGCCGTTATTTCACTTTTCTGATGAGTGGATTTGGCCTACGTAGCCCTGATACCCATAGCATACAGGCAAAAACCAGCTCAGGTGCCCACCTTTTTATAGAGTAATCGTAGCGCTGTGGTCCACTGGCGGAAACAGAAATTGTGGTGGGATTATTTGTTCACCTGGTGGAGGCTGTTATCTTAACTGCGGGGCCAAATCTTGCATCTTAAAGTCTAAGACAGGTTGCCCTAACAAGCTCCAACTTAGGGATATATCCTGCCTTCAGCCAGTTGTGCGAGTCCAGCAAACTCCTGTCAACCTTCTCATCCCCCCGGCTTCTTGTACCAGATTCGGATTTCGGGTTAAAGAGAGGCAGTGGTGATCTTGCAATGCTAAGATTTCAAACGAAGCCTTTAGAAATCAAGAACTGGAGAAAAAACGTTGGCTGTGACGGAGGGTCGCTCAGCACTTCGCAGCGGCCGGCAGCGAGCGGGGAGGGAACACGGAGGGTGCGACACACAGCCGTCCCCCTCCCCTCGCCTCCCTTCCCCCTCCTTTTATTAAAAAGAAGAGAGAGTGGACCAAAGCTGATGGCATATTTACCTTCATGAGTTTTAAAAAAAAAAAGTTAATTACTGCTCGGAGCAAGTTGGTATGGCTGTCCTGAGCTGTCTTTTATTAGTAGTCGCCTTCATTAATTTCCCTCGCTGGATTTGCTGCTAATAGCTGCTTGGTCCTGGGCAGCACAAAGCAGCATCTGTGCCATTGAGCAGAAAAGCGGGAGTCAGGCAAAGGGGGGCACTGGGGGGGGGGCGGGGGGAGACGGGGACGACGCCGTTTGCAAATCAACCTCTATTAACGTGATGGCCTGCTCGGAGGGGACCGCAGCCCCGGGAGCCTGCACGGCGGCTTGGGCTTCGCTTGGCTGTTACCCTTCACTGGGCCACAGCCTTCATCAGCTGGGATGCACCCATGGGTGCTGGCTGTGCTGCCAGTGCACCCCCCAAGATGAAGGGGACCGCAGCCCCGGGAGCCTGCACGGCGGCTTGGGCTTCGCTTGGCTGTTACCCTTCACTGGGCCACAGCCTTCATCAGCTGGGATGCACCCATGGGTGCTGGCTGTGCTGCCAGTGCACCCCCCAAGATGAAGAGGGAAGCGGGATGCTGTCCCTCAGTGTGGGATGCTGTCCCGTGGTGGGGGATGCTGTCCCTGGGCGTGGGATGCTGTCCCTCGGTGTGGGATGCTGTCCCGTGGTGTGGGATGCTGTCCCTTGGTGTGGGATGCCATCCCTCGGTGCTACGGGTGCTCTGGTCCTGTGGCACGGGCCGCTTTGAGGCGTTAAGCAGTATCGAGCAATAACCAATTTATTAATAACTTGTTCTCTCTCGACGCAAGATCTTCTCCTTCTTCAAAATAGCTTGGCAGGGACGTTTAGAGATGAAAGAATGGGATTAAGTTCTCTTTGGAGGGTCGCCGCGGGCAGGCTGGGGGGGGGCTGGAGGCACCACGGGCTGCAGGGGCCAACAGCCCCATCTGCTCCCGCTCTGCAGAGGGATGATTCCATCCAAGTGGAAAAAAGGCGGGTGGTGCATGCCATTCCCGGGAGAGGGGCCATCCCCAAGGCTGTTGGCTTCCCTTCCCGGCTGGGGAAGGCAGCCGGGTGCCGGCGCGGGGACTTCCCTCCACGGCAGCAGGTGACAGTGGCAGTTACCAGTTGATGCGCTGCTGCAGATTTCCCTGCTCTGGTTATTTCAAGTTAGAACAGAACGTCACACCACCTGTGAACAGGGTGTTTTTCCCACGTGTGTGCAATGCCCGGAGACACAGCCGGGTCTGTGGGGACCCCCGTGGCTCTGCCAGCCAGGGGGACAAGATGGGCTGGGAAAACTCCCATGCTGGGTGCCAGTCCCATGCCTGGAAGAGCAATCCCACCCCTGATACCGAGCCACACCGCGCGGTGGGGGACACCGAGGAGGCTGGTGCTGGGCATCAGCGCTGAATTTTGCCAAGCAGAAGAGATGTGGCAGCACGGGTTGCCCTTCCGAGCTGGCTCGGGGCTGGGGGGCAGGGGGGAAGCTTTCCCCTGGGTACCCATGAATAGCTCTTTCTGGTAAAGGGCTGATGCCTAAATCCAGCAGCTGGGCTCTGGGGGCAGCTGACGGCGGGTCGGTGGCAGTGGGGACGTGCTGCCTCGCGTGCGGGGGCTGCCGCACAGCTGGAGGGGTCACCCCATGCCTGCCCGCCGCTGCCCGGGATGGGAGGGAGGGAGAGGGAGGGAGGGAAGGAGGGAAGGAGGGAGGGAAGCCTGGCTCAGCCTTGTATTGTCGGAATAACCGAGGGTCTTCCCAGCCACGCTACATCTTTTGTAAGAGAAGTTCCCCAAAGTGCCTCGTTAAGTGTTGGCAAAAGAGTGAGAAAATCATTCTGCCTGTGGGGTGCATCAACTCCTTCCCTATGGTAGCAAATTTACTAACTTTTATGCACTGAGTGCCCTGCAAACCAGACCTCTGCCTTTCACCTGGGTACTGGCAGGAAGGAAAAAACCTTCTTCAACCAGTTATCTTCCCTGAAGGGCTGGAAAACGTGGCAGCACCTTGCCAAGAGCGGGATGGTTTGTGCCTGACCTACTGTGGTGCTTACACTGGGTGTAAACTCGAGCCCTTGAGTTGGCTGTTTTGGCCAAGAGGAGAAAATGCTTCTTCGGACTTTACGTCCCTGGAATCAATGATAACATTTCACTGTACCAGCACAACACGGTTTTGCTCATTTTGTAGAGACCACAGGGTCCTAACAGTCACACTGAGCTCTTAACGTTGGACTTTGGAGCGTGTTAGAATTAATCAAGCCCAAAAAGCACCCTTGGTAGCCAATTACTTAATATAAACCACTGAATCTCTCAAAAAGAAGAAAAAAAGAAAAGAGAAAGAGAAAGATTATTCCCTAAGTCTTGGCTGGTTCAAAAGACTCTTCGGAAACCAGAGGAAATAGCAGAACAGCATTTTTTTTGGTCAGTAGCTCCAAGATGAAACTTCCAGCCAAAAATTAAATTAATCAGCTTGAGTTGACTATTTATTTCCCTCAATAATCACCAACTTATACTACAAATATGAACGGGGACTTTTAAGTTCTGTGTGTTTGGGGCCGTGTATGTGTCTAAGTTCTTCAGGCGATGAGATTATAGAGCACATTTATCCCCATTTCCAGTATCCCAGCTCTGGATGAAGACAGAGTGCCTGCGTTTGTGAAGGACTGAGACCTCTGAATTTGTGCCCAAGCCTATGAAGAGTAAGACCAGAAGAAAACTACAGGGTTAAATACGATGATGTCTGTTTTAAGAGGGGACTGGACAAGCAGATAGTTGATACTAACTTTTAACCAGGAGTAGCCATAACTTTGGCCGAGAGGGTGAAATGTGTGCTCCAAACCGACAGAAGAAATCAGCTGCTAAATGCAAGTGTCAGGAAGGAATCAAAATATTTAAATTTCCCGCAGATTGATTTATTCAGGAGCACATCTAAATACATATTTTCTTTCTTTTTCTGAACAAGGGGCATGCGCTGGAAGAGGCATCACTTTTCAGGGGTCTGGAAGCTGCATGTGCTGTCAGAGCAGGCACCGCGGGGCCGGCTGCCGGCAGCGCATTAGGACACTTTGTTCTGCGGAGATTGTCCGGGAGGTTTTGTTTGCTTTTAATTGTCTCTATAGAGAAGGGAAAGCCTCTGCCGAGAGGCTTTAACACAGCATCTCTGCCGCCTATTAATTCCCGGGATCTCGCTAACGAGCTTTGTTTCCTCTTTGGAGCTGGGCGCTCCCTTCAGCCGGAGCACGGAGCTATGTCTGCGCGGCGTTTGTCACTTGGTTAAAGCCAGCATTTCCCCACTGCCGCAGACAAGGCCGCCCTTTATTGGCTGCAGAACAAGATAACGGGCTTAATCTTCCCAGTAACACGTGAGTTTTCATGTATCACTTTAATCTGCGAAACACTGGGGCCGAGTGTACTGTCACATGCCCATTTTACTTTTCTAAGAGCGAGTGACTCCCCGGCTCAATGATGGATTGTTTGCTGGCTTTTAACAACAGTCAAGATGGTGAATGCCCCGGGGTGACAGACAGTGTGCAATGGGAACGGCCGCAAATCTGATGGCCCGGTTCAAGTTCACCTGACAAAGCTGAAGCAGTCTGCAAGCAGCAGTCGAGAAAGGATTATTCACACTAGCATTATATTTTTGAATGCATTTTTCTTCCTGCGCAGCTGCCCAGCTCCCCAACACTGAAGGTTTATGCACCATAATAAAGAGATTTAATTTTTTTTTTTCTTCTTCTCTTGCTTCTCCCTCTTTACACCTAGTTCTAATCGGTCAGCGCAGTGATAGGGCATCTTTCCAAACAACTCGGCACAAACATCACCTAGAAAACAATAGCATTGCTAAAAAGCAGGAACAAAAGCCTAAAAATCTCTGCTGGAGGCAGAAACAAAGGCGGGACAGTTTTGTTAAAGCTAACTCTCTGCTGGGGACCCATCTTTTTGTGGAAGTTTGATGCTGTGTTCCCTTTCTCGTCAGGAAAATCTCCCCAAAGAAACGATCCCAGCCTTTGAGCTCTGGGGCAGTGGGACGTCAGGGCTTCGGAGGAAGAGGAGAAGAGAGTTTGAAATGAAGGTGGCTTTCACTGCTGAAAGAGACAGCACGCACACTCATACCCTGGAGGTGCCTGGCATGGTCTTGGAAGAGTAAAATCTAGGTCTCATAGAGTTTCTTTCGGCTGGAGAGGCAGCAACAAATGTTAGCTCCAGTCCTGTGCATTATTCCAGTGGTATGTGGCACTGTTAAGGTGAATACATGTAACTGTTTGCTTGAATTTCCCCAGAAGCAGCTTTTCTGCCTGCCAGTTAGGCAAGTAACACCAGGAAAGATGTGCTGGAAGAATGTAAGATCACTTTCTCCTTCTCCTGTGGAATAGAAAATCAGCTGCAAGCTGTAGATGCAAAGACATGCCCCTGCTTTTAATCAAAATCTGCAAGGCACCCCTGACGGAGGCCGAAACAAGCACGCTGCAGTGAGGAGGTGCAGGTTAATCACCCGCTGGAAATGAGGGCTGAATCCCACTCATCCTGGCCAGGTAACTCATTAAAAGCCTGATCCCAGCAGATGTAAAACAGATAGTGGAATTTTGAGGGGCCAAAATGCATTAGTCAGCATATTTGATTTGAAAAATGCTTCCTTCATCATAGTCTGAATTTGGCCAATAGCTTTGTGGGGTTTTTATTTCAACCAGGCACTCCAGTTGGCTTAATTCAGCATTGAAGGGGAGCAGCATTTTGTGTAAGGAGCTCCCATCCCCTTTTTTTTATGGCTGTTTTCCCTACAGCGTACGTATATATTATCTGACCGTGGCAGCAGGTTTCACTTTTTTCAGCTAACCAGCCTGGGTGGGAAAAAATTTAAGATTTCAGCTGTTCGGCTAGAATTCACAAAGTTGGGAGGGCAGTGCTTTCCTCAGTGTGTTCCTGAAATTTACTGTGACAGAGTAAATCTATGCATTTGGGTCTCTTGGAGGTAGGTGAGTGGTTATCACTATGAGAGTTGCTGTAGGTGTCGAAGGAGGTCACGTGAATGAATTGCAAGCGTTAGTTTAAAAAACAGCAACAACAAAACAACAACAAAAAAACCACACAAAAGATTGTTTCATAAAAAGTAAAAGGCTGCAGCTGCCTCTAACCCAGGCAGGCACTACTGGAGCATGTGGCCAGCCTACACGCCAGGGGCTGTTTAGTCCCGGTGTTAAAAATCAGGGGCTCTCTAAGTATGCTCGATAACAACCCCAAACAATAACAAAAATACTGCTAAAACGTTGGAGTTAAAGGACAAAGTGACATGGGTGACAGTAAAGCATGTTCCCAGCACAGGCTGAACCATCGTTCCCTCCCTACACCCCCATCGTGTAGGTACAAACTTAGTCTTTGGCTGCAGGAATGGAGGGGAGGGGGAGGATCAGGGTCTTGGTGTGGGCAATGTGTAAATATATCACTTACATGTTACTGGACATCTGTTTTACTTTCATTCATGTATGTTCTTTCGGGGACTCATCTGAGAAAGGCACCGCTCCTTCCTGAACACCTTCCATCTCGCAGCTCTGTGAGGCTCGAGGGGAGGGCATCTGCCCGCCCAGCTGGAACCAAAACTGGCACTGAGGCTGCTCACTCTGTGTTCATTAGACACTGGACTCTCCCAGAACTGCTCCTCTGCACCAGCGGCTACGCTCATGTCCAGTGAGATTATTTGTGGGAATTTGTTATAGGATCGGTCACCAACTCCGTGGTGCCCACAGTTTCATTACAGGGCAGAAGAGATGTACTGTCCTTAAGCAAGAACTGTTCTTCTCTTGGGAAAGGCTTCTGAGAGCTTGTTAAATGTAGTAGTCCTAAAATACTCACACAAAGCATCTCTTAGTCCAAGAACACTATTTTTCCCTTGCGGAGCAGCACAACTTGGCTGTTACAGTTAAAACCGTATTTCCACCCGTTTAGATGTTGTGTGGCCACACAGGCAGGATACACACACCATACACACCCCTGAAAGAAACTTTGCTATTTTTGAAGCAAACCAAAACATTACCATTTGTTCCCCGAAGCATTTATACAAGTTTTTGAAAATTTTACAGATGATTGAAATGCAACTCTCTGCTTCTGACTCACTCCATCCATACTCCATTTCCCAAGAGCAGATGGTGCCTATTGCCCTTTCTGGGCAATGGATGAGAAGTTTATACAGTCTTGCAGTCCACCTCTCGCTGAATTTTGGGAGGTTGTTTTCTTACTCTTCGGAAGTTCTTCTGTGAATTCTTACAGATGTAACCATGTGAGGTTCAGATGGTACACAAGATGGTAACATGGCATTACCAGCCTGGATGCAAAGACCAGAACTTGCCAAACTCATACAGGTAATGACTGACCCAACTCACATGGGTATCAGCTCAGTGGGTCTGTTCTCACAAAGACAATATACTCCTGAAGGTGTGTAGGTTAAAATCCTCTCCATCTTAAGGGTCATTCTTTGTGTGACTGCCTTGAGCAAGTCTACATTGGCAGCTCTACCGAGGGTCTTGTTAAAGAAAGGCAGCGACAGATTTCATTGCACTCCACGTGTTGATTATTAAAGAAATAATAAATTCCTTTCTTCCCGAAGTTGGAGCGTGAAACATCTTTGCTATTAAGAGAATGAATCTGGGGGTCTGTGAGGTAGATGAGGCCCTTCCCATTACCCGTCACCCAACCTGTGGAAGAAAAGATAGATCCTGGTATCGAACATCACAGCCTTTGCATCATCTTACTCAGAACTGTTTGCTTGGCACAGTTAATGTCACCCATGCTCTGTTAATGTCACCTCAGTGATTCCTAGTTTGCACCTACGTCAGCAAAAGCAAAACCCTAAGAGGTACATAATGACTATTTAATGAAATTAATATCCAAAAGATACTTGTGTGCTGAAGCTTGAGTCTGAATGTTTTCCTCCTTGGCTCTTAACCTTTTTTTAGGCTTGCTAATTTAAGGAAGGAAGAAGCGTGACAAAACCCACTGCCTCTTTTAGTGCTTCTCCTCCAGATGGTTCCACAAGACATGACCCTGCAGACTGATTTTAGTCTAATTGGATGCGGATCGCTCCATGGCATGAAGCTGTGGCACACCTGAGCACGTGCAGCTTATGTGCTGTCACTGTCAATGCAGTGGAGAACAAGAGCACTGCTCAAGGCAGAAACACACTTGCACACACCTCCCTCACTTCATGTCATTTAGAGACACAATGTCCTTCATAGACCATATTCTGCAACATGAGAGGACACGTAAGAAGTGAAGTTCACTGTAATACAAACCTTGCAGATCAACGACAACGTCTGTCCCATTGGAGAACTCGTAGCAGAAATGGCCATAGGCCAGACCGTACTGTGTGGCTTGGTACTCATTCTTCACAACCTTCGTGTTATTGGACAGCTTCACAAACTCCCCGAGGATGTAGGGCTCCACGCTCACACACCCTTTTATAATTCTGTCTTCCAGTATCTGAAAGAGGAGTGTTGCTGTCAGTCACACAAGCAGAGATGTGAAAAAAAGGATGCTACAAGCTCCTCTAACTCAAGTTTTGTTTTTAACTCATAACATCGATGGAATGTGTCTTTATGTTAACCCACTGCTGATGCAAAACACAGGCTGTTTAGATGAGGAGCTCACATTTAAGTAGAACAAAGGGTGGTACAAGATCCAACACAAAGTCAGCCTGACAGGGGAAACTCCATAAACAACAAATTCTAGAAAGATCTAGTTTGTGCAGCAAATAGGACACTTCTTTCAGGAGATTATGTCTAAAGAATAAGCAAGAAAGCTGAAAAGATTTGGGTAAATCTGCACCTGGTCCTCCTTCAGTGTGTAATAACCACTGGAAGGGTTTGGGAGTTTTTTTAGTAATTTCTGTGTTCAGAGACTTGCGAGTATTGATGCCAGGCTCTCATTAGGTCTTATTAGTGAGTGGCATAGAGCCAGAGTTAGTGCCAGACAGAAATGGTAGTATGCATAGCATGCTACCCTATACCTACTCGTAACGAAACAGGGAGTTCAACACTCTGCTGTGGAGGGCAGCTCTCCCTATTTGAAACACAAGTCAAATAGAAAGTCAAGCTTAAGAATAAAGAAAAGATCTTTTACTGTCCTGCTGGGGCCTGGATGTCAGCTTTAACCTGTGTGCCAGCCCACACAGATGATATAAAAGGCTGGGTAACTCCTGGGTTTCATTTACAAGTGAGTTTCTGACTCCTAACAGGACGTGGCATCTCTTCTGCTGGTTCACCTCCGAACTTGTAGCTCTGCAGGTAGGTGTCTCCTGTCCTGAAAGGAGCAAATGCATCTACCAGGTATGATCTCATGAATGACAGCATGTCATCTAGAGGTGGCTTAACTGCTAGCAATTTGAAACCAAAATTGACTTAAGACACTCTTCCCATCAATTCTTTTGTATTGCTTAGAAGACAGTTAGCTCTTACCAGGAGTACTGCAGATGGGATATAAAAGATTTGGGTTGGGACCTTCTGCTCATACAGTCTTTTATTGAATTCCGTCACGTAGTACTGGGCAGTCATTTGCCGTTCCACGTCACTGAAATGATGAAGTAGTCCTTTTTCATCTTTATATTCTTTCCCAACGTACCTAAACAAAAAGAGAAGTGTTTGGTGTGGGCAGATTTGCAAGAGACTGCACTTGGGAACCCCCTATTTGTGAAAGAGAAACATCACTACAAAGCAGAGCTGGGCTGCTCAGAAGCAGAGCCAGCTGTTGGCGATGCATTTAAAACAGCAGCGATTGAAGTTGTGGGGTTTTCCTTTTATAGCTCTTACAGGCATAAAATGCTGAACTGATCAACCAAATCCTAGAATGGGGGTTTCATAACACTGGAATGTTTAAAGTTAACTCTTCTTGACTCTGAAGGGACAGCTGACTCAGATGAACTTAAAATACTGTTCTTAACCCATAATAATTCATAAGCTACTTCTAATAAGAATCCAAAACCTGCAATTAGTAGTTAGGAGAGGTCTCCTGGTGCAGAGGCCTTTATGAAACAACTAGGTGATTTTAATCCTGCTTTCAGAGCAGATGCATCCATTGCATAAATCTGCTCCTGAAATTAAAGAAAAGCAAGTGAAACATAGGTATAGGCCTATAGATATTGTGAGATAGATATAGATATAGATATAGATATGTAGTTAATTCTCTAATGCAAAGCTAGAGGTCACATAATAAAATAATAGGCAATGAACATTTAGGCTCCCATGAGATTATCCCAGCACAGACAAAGGTGAAGTCAAACCTAAGAATTGTCATGATTGTCATGATAGAATGAACACTAACATGGCTGTCAGAAGTCAGCAGAGAAGTAGCTTTTTCTTCCCAGAATTTAAAAAGTACAGAGTTACACGGAGTGATGGGAAAGATTGCCAAAACGCCCAAGAGATTTGGAAAAGCCATAAAACATTCTTGCTACAGAAAATCAGTCAATGTCTAATCAAATGCAAACTAGGTTGAAACAGACTAAAGAAGCAATCTTCTCCCATTGAGACTATGATTTCTGTAGTTGTCCAAGTAAAAACTTGCACTGTCTTCTGAAAATTCTTGATGAAAGGTACTGTCTAACAAGTCATTGGAGTAGCTGAATCATAGGTGTAAGACTAATCCTACCGAACAGTTTTCATTCATATTTACAAGAAAGCAGCATTGATAAATATTTAGTTTCAGAAATTGGTTTGGTCAATACCTTCCCAGACTTTCTTCTTGGTGCAGGAAGTGTATCCAAAATGCACTTCTCTGTTTACCTTCCTTTTCCACGTTCAGGTAGTCCCCAATGAATACCGCTGTTTCTTGGGCTGTCCAGAGGCCTGATTTCTTTGAGTATTTTAGAAGAAGAGCAGCTACAAAAAGAAAACACCACGAGTAGAATGGACGATTTCACAGGACTGCTCTAAGCCTGTGCTAAGGGATTTAATAACCACCACCCAGGAGAGAAGCAATGTCCTGACCTATAAAATATAGGGTAAGAGATATCTAGATTCAGAGTTGGATATTTTACATTAAGGACAAAAAAATTGCTAAACAGGCTTGAGACATGCAAGATGGGATGAGCCCTAAAGTGGGTTTTCCTTAATGAACTCAACATGGCAACCTATAGTGGTGTTGCTCCTAGCTTCTGTATTTCTTAGGATATTGATCAAGTATCTGCATATTAAGGTATGGCTGTTATTAACAATTATCATTATCTTAAGTAGTTGGCAGGGATGAAATGTGGAATCTAAAGGGGTGACAAAACCAGAGACTCAAGTAATGGGCAAGAAAGGGCTTGATGAACTGGCACAGGGATTTCAAGCAGCCTAAGGTACCTCTTGCATGAAGGGACTGAAGCAGGAGGGACTAAGTGGGCAAGGAGATGGAGCCCGTTTCCATGAAGCTGTGACTGATGTGGCAAATGGGTAAGGATTAGGAGAAAATGGTTCAAAGGAGTGTTCTTCCATTGCTAAAATTCTTATACAAAACCTCCTAAAACAACAAAAAATTAAGTCCTAATAAATGATGCCTAAAACATTGCATTAAAAAGCCTGGGTCTGAAAAGACTGTGGGAGCACCTGTTGCCGTGTGAAAATGCCCATCACTGTGTGGAAACTTACAGTATGCTTCACGAAGCTGTTTAGCCTTAAAAACTCCAGTAGGCGTCAGTCTCTGGACAAGCCAATTATGTTCCACCCCTGCCAGAAGCTGCGTGTAATCACTGTCCCTCAGAAATCGAGCGTCAAGGATTTCTTCCTTTGTTCTCCCAGGCATGAAGACGACACCACCTTCCCTTGGGCTCAGAAACACACTTTCAGGGGAACTCTTGGGCATCTCTCCTGCTTTGTACCATGAACTCAGAGATGAACTGGATTGTCTCTTGCTGCTCACCACATCCTGAGACTTCTCTTCATCTTCTTTGGTAGTGGCACAATCAAAGTGCTCAGTTATGGATATCTTTCCCTCCGAGGACAAAGCTGTTGGTGCACTGGGAGCTGATTGATGCTCTGCAACAGATGCCATCGGATAATTGTTTTCTAGGTCTCCAACACTGATGAAATCAAATTCGGTGTCATCTACTGTTTCTGCCTGGGCGTCAACTTCAGGCACTTTGAGAGATCTGTTTCCCACCAGGGCAGATCTCCTCAGCCAGTCACGCACAGAGGAGTCGGTGGCCATTTTCGGCTTGATGCCCGTTGGTAGTCCAGAAGCACCCGAAGCACCCCCATTTTCGGGGGGCCGTGCCTCACGGGGGGGATCCTCGGTGCTCTCTGCAGTCTCTCCTTCTGGGTCGACCCACAGGAACTGGCTCCGGGGCCCACCTCCCTCCCCGCCGCTGTCCTTGGTCCTGCAGCCCAGCTCTGCCCGGGAGGAGGACTTCTCCTCCAGCCTGGTAGGAACAGAGTAAGGGGTGGAGAGGGAAGGAACCGCAATGTTCACCTCCTCTGCTTTCTTCTCTGAAGAGCTCTTTCCACGGTGTCTTCCCTCCCGTAGCTCTTCTACACGCAGAGACTCCTTCTCTACCAGCCTCCCAGCTACCTCCAAGGAAGGTTGAGGAGATCCCCCGCAGCTATGAAGAGGCTCTTGAGGTGATGGGGGGCAGGCTCTGGGAGATAGGGAGCGCAAATATGCAGCCTGACCATTTTCATCAGATTCTGTTGTACAACACTGCTCCTCCACTGAGCCCTTTTCCTGCTGCTGCCTTTCCCTGGGAGACTCTTTGCTGCTATTACTGTTTAGTTCCTCCCAGCTGGAAGAGTAACTTGATTTTGAAAGGTTGCACCAAGAGCTCTCTGAAGTAGTGGTCTGACTCTTCTTTCGCCACTTGCTGAAAGCACTGTTTTCATCATTTATTTCTATTTCTAATGGCTCAGTCTCTTCATTGAAGGAAATTTTCATCACATCAGAACCCAAGTATTTCTTTCTTTGGCCACTGAGTCTCTCTGAGCTACTTCCTGCTGTTGGTGAATTCAGCGTTTTTGCCGTGCCTTTCCTCTGGTTCACTATTTCTTCAGTAGTACACACAGTGTCTATGGTTTTGGTTTCTGTTCTTAAGGTTGTGATACAGACTCCCACTTGGGTTTCTCCTGGTGCGCTTTTATGAAGCCTGCAGGTATTTTCAAACACTTCACACACTGACAGATGATGTTGAGAATGCATGGCAAGGATCTTCTCAAAGCTGACTTCCCGTTGCAGGATAGGTTTTTCCACTGTGCCTTTAAAACTGTCTGGAACATAAGATCTAGCATCAGAATTCGGGAAGCTTTCCACCCGCAGGCGCTTCTTCACGGATGTGATCAGACACATGATCTCTTTGGCAAGCACTCCTTTCTCTTCCTCTTCTGTAGATGAAGCACTGTATGAATGCAGTTTGCCCATGGCTTCTTTACAGACCTGACGCACCTCGCAGAGTTCCTCACTCTCCCCGTAGAGCCATCGATGAACAGTTGCGAGGCAGAAAGCTGCTTTAATAAAACTGTGGAGCTCCTGCTTGCTGGTGATGGGACTCTTATCATCCTTGGTGAGGAGGCCGATCTCAAAGGATTCTTTGGCTTCAGACAAGTAAAACTTTCTCTTTTCTGGGGGACAGTCCTTGGAGTGACTATAGGACAGCAAACACACCCCACGGATGTTCTGGGAGGGGATGAAAGAGAAATGAAGAAATTAAAAACCTGGACCTCTGGCAGAGATAAACAAAGGGAGGAAAAATAATTTTCTTTCCTTTTACTATTTGAAGCAAAAGTCAGCTCTAACTGCCTGCTGCTCTGTTTTCTGGAGGAAATCTTGCTCTTTCTCCTTTGAAATATAGCTGGAATTACAGAAGGAAGCAGCATTCCCAGATGGGTTTGAAAGCCCCTCCTCAGTTTGTGGACAGACACTGCCTTTCCATCCATCTACTTCGCTTCTGATTGGAGTTCAGAGCAACAAGTAACATCACTCCCACGACACAATACCCTGTATGATGCAATGTTTGAAAGCTGGATTACAGCCAAATTTAATAGTCTGGGCTCTTCTCTTATACAAATAGCACTTTCAGAACGAAGACTAATACTTACCACGGCTGTGAGGACAAACAGGGGGGTGTACTGGCTGTAGGCTGCTGCTAGTTTGCAGGCCTCAGCAGCTGACAATAAGCGATGACTGAACTCTCGGAGAAGGCTCTAGTGACAGGAAAAAAGCAAGAGGGAAAACTTTATCTTAAAGGCTTTTCTTTTCAAAGCTGCCAAAGCGAGGCAGCTTGGGATTTGTTTCTTGTGTTGTAAGTTTCCCGAGCTCTCTGAGACCTTTAAGTCTTGCTAGAGTGGGACATGGTATCTTAAACAACAACAGCCAGGTCTGTTTCTGAAGGAGCCTTTTTGCTCAGGTTTACCAGTGATGTGTCACTTTTTGACCCTATAAATATTCTATATATTACACAGACACACACACTCTGTAAATATTCTGAATTTTTTATTTTTCCTGAAGCGAGGCATTCTCCCCACCTAGGTGCTAATGAACTTTTCTAACAGGAGCAATGGAAGTTTCTTCAGCCCTCTCAGCACTGGAGAGGAACTAGAGGAAGAACAAAGTGTGGGTGAATTTGATCATCTGAACTGATGGACTGTCCATGCAGTCCATCTGAAGAATCTACACACACACAAACACACACCAAACCAAGTCTTACCAGGTCAATCTCAGCATTGGTTTTAAAGCGGTCATAATCCTTCTCATTCATGGAAGCAAAGATGTCTGCCATAATACCCAAGGAAGTAGCAATTCCCTGAAAAAGAAATGGAAAATTACAATAGTGTTTTTCCCCTTGCATTTTGAATTTCACCACCCACAATAAAGCCACTTCCGCGTAGAACGTACCAGGAAAAAACCAAAAAAACCCAACCAAACAAAGAAAAGCACTTCTAAAAAATTCAGAGACATCACCTTGGTAGGGTTTTATTAATTCCCACTTTCAGAAAGTGTAGCCTGGTGGATACATATGAGTCTCCATGAGTGGTAGCTATCCAGATTACCACTAGCTCTAGGTTTCAACTTAAACAGCATTGCATTTTCCTTAGCATTGCACTTTCCCAAGGTGCTGTTTGTGACAATGAAAGTCTCATGATATCACCAAAAGATGCATTAAGCCCTTGGCTAAACATATCTGAAAAAAGACTCAAGATGTTTTACCATTGTTTTTCAGGAAAGATGATAGAAAGCCAAAAATTATGTTTAAGAACTGGCCATTTGATCCCAGTCATTCTAAAAAATCCAGGGTAAAGATGTCTAGAGACATGATAGAAGTAATAAATGCTCATCATGCATAGCCTAAGAAAACAACCATCTTTTAAAATACATTTCCATAACTTACTGCACTGTTTAAAAACCAAATGAACAGAGTTGGACAGAAGTCGGGAGTTCTTGGTATGGATAATTTAATTTTCAGTTTCTTTTTTTTTTTTTTTCTACAGAACCAATTAAAAAATAAGACATGAACATGTAACATGTAGATCTATGAATGTGCTAGCGGTCTCTCTTTCTGGAAGATTTGATTTATCTGTGTCAGCTAAGGGTTTGCCCAGCTAAATAGTTAAGAACATTATTTGTGTGCTTTCCACAAAATTCACTATACATCTTTGCTCCCAGATAAATGTTCTGAGATTGAGGTCAAGCTTTAAGGCATGGCAGAGGAGAGGTGATGAGGTTTGTTTTTGTGGGATATCCTATACTGGGGTACAATTTCAAAACCTCTTAAAGCATCACCCTAGGACTTGCAAGACTTTGGTTCGCATTCCTGTTTAGCTACGGACACATGGTGTGACTGTTGCTTCAAGATTAGCGCAGCCAAGTCTCACAAAGGTGTTAAAGACAGGTACAGCTGCTGTTGCAAGGTGCTCAGATACTGCAGTGCCGAGGAACATCCATCACCCACAAGTAGCGCGTAGCGTAGCGCAGCTTATGAATGCTCCAGCGAATAGACACACTTGGTTACTAGGAAGAAAAATTAGCCTTAGTCCTAAAAAATAGACAAATAATATCTGTGGTTGCATTCTGCTCTTGTCAGAGGCACCTGTGACACCCTCAGTGATGGTTCACTTCAGCTGATTCTGCTTAATGAAAACTATTACTTTCATTCCCCTGCAGGAAAAAAGGTGTGGGTGAGTCTGTGCATGCATGCGGAAACAACGTGCAGTACAGACCTTGCCCAGAATGTTTGTCCTGCACGTTAACCTCGTCCGAGGTGCGTAATTGAAACGTTATTGCTAAAAGATTCTTCTGAAGTAAACAGAAGCTAATTTGGAATGATTATTAGATTGTCAAAGGTATCCAGAGTGAAAAGGAAATACTACCTTTTTATCTGGTTGAGGAAGTTTGAAATATCCCACGACCGAAGCCCAGATCAACTCTGCTGCCTCATACCACATCCCTGGAATAAATCAGGAAAACAGTCATCACTATGCAGATTACTGCTACAGATGGCTTTCAGTAGTTTATTTTACACCTCCCTGAGTCAGGAGCCCTCAAAACAGTATAAAACTACACCATTTTTTGCTTTGGTAACACTGAACACTTATTGCCTTTAGCTTTTGGCTGTGCATAAACACACATTTTATGTTCATAAAAGACATCAGCTCAACAGTCATGGAATATGTAAGGTCACACCAAAAGCATAAAATTAATGCTGTTGGCCTCAAGTACCAAGCCCAGAATACAGAAGCCCCTCATGCTGAAAACGAGGGATTTTCTTGTCTTGAGAGAGGAAATTGCTCTGATGTACCTGTGATAAACTACTGCCTGCCTTTGGGAACAGAGAAGTTGGGAAAAGCGTTAGCAAACACGGAGTAGCGCAGAGAAGAAGGGAGCAACATTTCAGAATGCTCCTCAGCTTCTGCTAAGATTAATAATAAAATGCTAATTTCTAAAATGCTTTTTCTTGGTACATGGCTCTAGGTCCTTGCTGCAAAGAGATGGATGCACAACTCATCTCCCGTGGCTGTGTTATGGGCATCAGGCAGGTGTTCTACACAAGCTAAAACTCTGCCATACGCTCTGTGTACCATTTTAAAGCTTGGCTGCAAAGGAAAAAATACAATAGGGGAAAACCATGATCAGAGCTTTATAGAAAAAAAGCTTTACCAAGCTTTTGCAGGATCTGTCCTCGGATCTGTAAGCAGACTGACTGAACGAGAATCCTATCGCTTTCCTCAGCGTATCGCCAGGTACCTGCAGAAAGACATACAAGGAAGAATTAAGGAAATTTCAAAACAAAGTTGCAGTTTCCACATTTTAGCAAAGAAATGTGAAGAAAAGAGAAACATGATGTAAGGAGTCATTAACGAGGTCAGATTGGCTGTATTTGAAGCTTGTGTGACTGCTAAAATCACTATCAAAAATCCCACTAAAATAGCAGATATGAAACTGGAAAAGAAATATGTATGTACCTGTTGCTCCATTGTTGTTTATAAGGTTGCTTAGGATGTATTCAGCTTTTAAAAGTTTACCTAATTAAAAATTAAAAAAAAAAAGACAGAAAATTAATATAAAAACGTATCACATGGCATGAAGTGAACAATATTCATCAGTGAAAGCCCGTGCAAATCAAACTCTTCTTCCCAGCATTGCCATTGTGTCCACACTTAAAACTTCCAATTAAGTACGTGCTGCAGATGCTGCCTCCTGCTCAGGAATCCCTCTGACAGCTCTCTCACATATACAACAAGTACTGCAAAAAACACTGATGAGGCAACTGTTTCTAGCCAGACACTTGATTCAGAAAGTCTCACTGTGAAGCTGTATGACACACCCCAATACAACCCACACATAGATTTGTTGCTGTCAATAGTCATAAATGTACCTGCACTACATTCTATAACACACGGTTGCACAGTAAGATGAAATTACGTATATATCTGGTTTAGGCACGGGTTATGCTGCCTCTCTGTCACTCTCTACCTAGCTTTTTAAAAACACCTTAAGCACAGAATATACAGCCAAAAAATACCGAGCGAGGGTGCAGCATGCAACACATGGTGGGGATTCTGCCTTTCAACCCCCTGTCATACGGCTCAGAGGTTTTGTCACGTGGCCAGAGTCACCCATGGCACGTTTAAGGTCTAATTTGATCAGCTTTATTCATGTCAAACCTTGCTTTTTGTCTCAATGGTCCAGCTGAATCCAAGAAGGCTGCTCCAGCCAGTGAAGCAGTGTAAGTGCTGGCTGAAGTAGCCCATCAACTGGAGTGTGCCAGCACCCAGACACCATGGCCTGAGAAGTCCACAGCACAAATAAAAATAGCTATGCAAGGACCTTATAATTCTCTTTTATGCAAATAAAACGTTCCTCAGTTGGGTTTTTCAGAGCAGGTTTGTCTGGCTTTGTTTTCTTCTCCCTAGTGGGACAGTGGGAAGATACATTAAAAATCCTTCAGGTGTTGCCTACGTTATAGGAATGTTGGAATTTATTTTTTTTTTAAATCAATTTATCCTCAAGGGGTTGCAAGCTGCATTGTTTGCATAGTCAAGTGGTCCCACTGAAAAAAAAAAAAAAAAACAAGCTGGGACAGTGCAGAGAAAATGCCTGGATTCTAATTTACTTTTTAAAGGCCCTTGGTCAGAAGTATAGCAATTCAGATATCCCTGTTTGAAACCAGCAGGGAAGATTTGTTAAGGAACAAAAGCTCCAATTAGTATTTTCCACACCCTTTCACAATTTTCTCTCCTGCTTTGGCTCTGAAACCCTTTATACCAGCCCCTTTGTGCTAGTGAGAGGAGCTGGGAGGGCTCAAGGGGGCTGGGAGTGGGCTGTGCGTTTGAAAACATGGCACCGGGGGCCGTAAGCATGTCATCCCCGGCGAGGGACAAAGCATCTTCTTCCAAGTCAAGTAGTTCCTAATTGGGCTTGAGCTGAGAAAAAGCAGCAGCCGTACCTGTGTTGACAGAGAGGCGAGCCTGCCGGATGAGCACCTGAGGGCCCATCGGCGTGGTGGGCTGGAGCCTGTGCAGAGCCTTGGCAATCCCAAGAAGTTGGCTGGAGGCATCAATCCAATACAGGAACCGGTCGATCAGGAACACAACAGCAGCTGCCGTTACGCAGTCCTTGACCATGATGGAGGCTTTCAAATAAATCTGAAAAAAAATTCACCAGTGCTACAGGGCAGCCTTGGAGAAACCCACCTCGCCAAGGCTCTGTGAACTGTCTACAGAAAATAGCAACCCTCTGCCTACGTATCGCCTTAGGACAGATGGGATGTCCCCAGTTATTTGCTGTAAGGTGGCTACACGGTTCTACTGCAAGTGAAATACTGAACATAACGAGAAGCAAATATTCCCTAGCAACTAAAAGGCTGTCTCAGAATTTCTACTCGCCTTATAATTATGGTCCCAGGCATTTACAAAATGGAGAAGTCATTGTGGCAGTGATCAGATAGGATTTATTATAACCTATAATTATGCTTATTCCTGATTATATTTTCATTTTTAAGACAGAAAGGTTCCAGCTGTTTATTTTTTTGAGGTGCAGTTATCATTCCTGATTTTTTTGGGGTCTTTCTAATTGCTGTTTAGTATCTGGAACCGCATAACTTGGTGGTCTGTTAAGGACTTTAAATTACGCCCAACAGATTACTAGAAGTAATAAAAATTAGTTTAAAAGGAGGACATGAGTTTGGAAAGACTGGAAATGGTCACTAAAGCTATTGTCACAGATAGAGCTCAAGCCATCCACTCCTTTCTACACCACAAACAAACAAATGGGCCAGGAGTCGAATGTGTTCCCCTGCAGGTCATCTTTAGTGACTACTAAGTCTGTGTGAACTCCCTTGGATTCCCAGAGCAGCTGAGCCATCACATCAACACAAGGAATCAGCTGGAGGTCCTGAGATAGCACACTGTTAAGAGGACAGGAGGCCAACAAAGACAGCCATGAGGAGGCACACAGCCTCATCGAGGTTGTAGAAGTCCACATGGACCCGGGGATATCTACCAAACATCAACCCCTTCCTGTGGTGGGCAGGAGTTGGCACTCCTGCAAGGAGGTGCTCCACGCGCTGACATGCAGGTAATTCCCTTTATATAGGTTTGTAGCATGGGATGGGGAGGATGGCACCCAGTCATCATTTCACCGAAACACCTGCCTGAAGTACAGCCATCAGCTGTAAGGAAGGACCCATCTCTGCAGCTACAGAGTCTCGTGGTTGCCCTGACCTGTCTGGTCTTCATGGCCACCAGTGGTTCAGCAGCCTAACGCTGGCTACAGAGAGCCCAGCTTCCTGCTGCCCAGCCTGGCTCAAACACCTGGGAGCTGGCAATAGTCGAGTACTGCTTTGCTGTGTGGTCAATCACAAGAGGAAACAAAAAACAGAAAATGCCTTAAACCATATGAAGCCTCCTCAGAAAAAGGATGCTTTTCTCTTCTCATTGATGTGAGTGAGCAACTCTACTTGTGACGGAATACAAGCAACACAGGGGAGGGAGGATCGGATCCCACAGCACCATCAGAGGATGAGAGATTGCCAAGAAAACTTTGTCCAAACCTTCATTAAAACATCAAGTTTGGCAACTATCTCCCACTTTTGTCTTGAGCATCAGTCTCCTTCCCTTGCCTTCCTTGTGTAAATGCACAGGCAGGGCCAGAGAGACAGCAACGTCCACGAGCTGCTTGAGACACTGCTCAGGCTCCTTGGATCCCTCCACACCCTCATTTCTATTCTCTTTGCTTTTAGCTCAGAGCCCCACAATCCGAGAGCAAGACTCGTTCTTGATTTTGAGCAGCATAACCACTGTCTGAGGTGAGCAGGAGAAAGCTCATGTCAAACCAGTTGGAGAAGAGCCCACGGTATAGGGCATGAAGCACCAGACTGTTGCAAGCGTTTGCTAGCTCGTTTGAGGTTCAGTGAGGCGGGTTTGTACAAATTTCCTTTTTTCTTTTTTTTTTTTTTTTTTTCCTTGGCAAATTGTCGGATCCGAAAAAATGATTCTTTTTTTTTTTTTTTTTTTGGAATATTGTAATTATTTTAATACTGGAAGTTTAACACCAATTTGGAGAAAGGTCTGATGACTACAATCATGCCTGACCTCACCAGCCCATTTGTGCTGTTGTTTTTTCTGCATTTGTTGCATTTTCCTCTCCCTCTCCTTGACACAGCTAAAGCTGTGCATTAAGTATGCGGGGGGGGGTTTTTATAAATTTTTTTTTTTTTTTTTTTTTTTTTTTTTTTCCCTGAGCCTGAGTTGAATTTTCTAAGAGGATGGCACTTGAAAAGGATTCCTGGAGCCCAGCACGCACAACTCTGCTTGTGCCGGCCAACAATGGAGGAATCCCCCTCTCCAAGCACCTGTAAACTGACACTGCAAACCAGCCATTTGAAATGCTCATCAACAGGCCATATATTTAAGCACAGAGCATCGCCTAATCTATTTTTTTTTCCCTCCCCTTCTTCCTTTAATAGATTGGAGCACAAAAGCCTGAGAGAGGGTGACCTACCAAACAAAAGGGCCTTTGAGTTCCTAGGAAAAGTAGACTTGGAGGAGGATGGAAGGAATCCAAGTGGCCCTATTATTTCCACTTGCACTAATTAGACATTTTTCTGTCAGCTATTGAGCACTGCTGAGAGGCCAAACTCACTGAATTCATTTCTAAAGTGTTTACAGAAGTTTGCATCTGTTTGTGTCTCTTCAGGAGGAAAATAAGCACTTCAATAGCATTGTGGAAAATCTAAACGAAGCATCCTATTCTGAAGGGCTTGGCAGTCTTGCAGCTGCATAATTTAACTCTCCGCTCAATGCCGAAACCTCTTGTGTCCCTCTCCAAACCCAAATGGACACAAAACGTAGAAAAGTCAAGCCAGGGAGAGAAACTCGGCTATTTTTTTTTAAAAGGCAGGGCTGCATGCTGTGTGGCACACAGAAAACACGGTTCGATGTCAATCTTTGCAATTACATCCCCCTCCTCCTCCTCCTCCTCCCCTGTTCCGAGCAGCACACCAAGAAATTCATACCCGCTGCTTTCATGCCCTGCCAACTCGTGTGGCTGGAAAATTCCTCTGCACCTACAGCTCGTGCACTGGCCCCGCCGGGCATGCACCCAAAGACCCTCCCCGTGCCCCTCCGACACGACACGGGGCAGCAGCTCCCCGTCACCCAGCCCAGACCCTGGAGAAATCCTATGGACTTCCAGGACAGGTCCCAAGCCTACCCCCGACACGACCAGGAGCTCCACGCCGCTCGCCGCGGCCGGGCACTTTGTTCTGCATAGCGGGCTAGTGCCCCAAACAGATTGACTCACTTTCTTTAGGGCTTTAAAGCCACGTCTGGGCACATCCAAACACAGAAAGGGAGAGAGAGGGAGAAAGGGAAAGAGGGAGGTAGGCGCGCACTTTGTTTTCACATCTGTGTCCATGATGTGAAATGCATATGTCTAATTGAGTTTATGACACAAAGGGAACCTCGCGGCTGGGAAGTGGAATCAGGTGGCGAGAGAATTAAATTTGCACCAGATTTCTATACACGGACTATTGGGGAAAATGCAAAACAGCCTTTAGTGAAGGTTTGGTGGTGGGTTGTTTTTTTTTTCCTCCCCTTAATGGTGATGAGTGGGAGGGTGTGCTGTTTGCATGGTTTCCTGCATTAGTGGGTTAGCTCCTCCTCACGCCCTGGCTGAAGTTTGGGTCCCAGCTTTGGGTTCAAAGCCACGACGCCTCCTTTGCATTGACAATGGGGGCCGCTCCCAAGAGAGGGGAGAAGCTCAGAACCGGGGCCATCTGGCACTAGGACTGGCAGGAAAGCGTCAAAGGGAAATTATTGGTGCATAGTAAATGAGGACGAGGAGGAGGGGAAGAAAATAGGGGAAAATCTTTATGTGGCAGCTGATGTAAGAGGAATTACAAGCCCAAATAAATGAAATATTGATTTAATCCACTCTCTCTGCCCTCTTTATAAAGCAGAGATCCTGGAGGCAAGCCCCCCCGCCCCAGCGTGCAGGCTCGGGAGGGTCCCCTTTGGAAAAACGCCTCTGCGAGCGGCAAGGTTAGAAAGCAGGGGCAGGAATCGTTTCATTTGCAGAGTGTCCCCACAGCTTTGCAGACACTCTGGGTTTCTGTGCTTTTATACTTATATCCATTCATCTCAGACTGTTTCAGTCTTTGTTTCATTTGCAACTGCAGCTGAGTTTTAAAGTATTTAAAATAAACCCCCATAAATCAAAAAACCAACAAACAACAAAACAACACAAGAGCAGTCAATAAAGAATTCCTAATTCCGTGCACAAGGCAGGAGTTTCAGGGACACGTACTTCCAGGTGCTTTAGTTCTCTCCCAAGAGCTGTTCCTAGTTAGCACTCCACTGAACCCTAACAAATTGCCCGGTTTTCTCTCCCCCTACGTTCGTCCCCTGTCAGATTAAACACAGAGTCACAACACCAATGGATTTGGCTGAAGTCTTTCACCCCACGCGCTGTGAGCAAAGCCTGTCTTTCCAAGAGACCAAAGCTGCTGTCACCGCACGGGACTTCTCTATCAATCTCTGCCTTTCAGCTGGCAATCAGCGCCCACTCGACAAATAACAAGGAATTAAGCCTCCTACCACCTCTGTGATGGGCAGAAGAAAGCACGTCCACGAGGCGCAGACAGATACGCTTGAAACACGGGACAGTCAACTCACACAGTAAATAGCTGCAGACTGAGGAATAAGAAGCTCCTGGACGCTTTCCTCTCTGCTCAGCCCAGTGGAGAAACCCCATATAATGGCCTGAGTTTCTGGAGCTGTTAATTAGCTCAAGTTATTCATCCTGAAGGCAATGGAGAGTTGGGTGTTTATTCAATGGGAGCAGCATTAGGTCCATTATTAGCAGCTCAAAACACCACAGAATGGGTCAGGTTTGGGTTTTTGTTTTTTTTTTTTTACAACCAACCACATCTTGCTTCACCAACTGAGAAAATACTAGAGCAAGAACAATTCCCAGTTCTCTCAAGAACTTCCCTTTTTTTGCAATTTAGCTTGCCACTGATACGATTTTTCTGGTATTGGGAGATTCCATGTGCTGCTCTTGGGCTTCCACTCTCTCGTTGAGAGCCTTTGCTGTTTGCAGGGAGCAGAGCTCCAGCAGAGCGGTGCCCCCAGAGTCCCGCCGG